CCAGATCAAATTGCATTCGTTTAAATACCAGAGGTGAAAGTGCGCTCGTATTTACTTTATCTAGCGTTATGTTGGCATCCGCGCCACTTCTGGTTTGGCAGTGCAGTTTCTCTGGGGCCTCAGTAATGCGCCATTCTGACGCAAGGCGTTGGGTGAAGGTGAGTGCAGTTTCTTTGCACTGTGAAACAAGTGACCCGAGGCAGCCCAAGACCAAGAGCCTTTGATTTCGATCGATTTTCCTTTTTAAAATATTTCGTTTTTAGGTTCAATCTGATATGTCCCAGTTTTCGGTTTTATGTTTTTTTTTGGCATTGGGTTCAGTTTCGGTTTTCTGGTGCCGCCGTAAGCAAAGCGGGTTTTGGTTTGGATTCTAGCTTTCTTTGTTCCCAAACGTCTTCATTTCACCTGTGTCAACTGAATCCGTGTATAAGTGCCCGCTCGTGGATCCGAGTTTTATCTTTGGGTGTTCAACTCGATATCTCACGAGTGAGATATTAAGTTGAGCACGAGAAGATAAAATTCGTATCCACCAGCGAGCATGTAATATTCTGTTTATTATATAAACATACTAATGACGACGTTTTTGACGATTTTCCGAAGATTTTCGACCGCGTTCCGAAGATTCCCGAAGTTTTTCAAAATTGTTCCGAAGGCCAGACGAACGCTTCCGAACAATTTCCCGAACATTTCCGAACATTTTCCGAAGATTACCGAAGATTGCCGAAGACGACCGAAGAAAACCCGAAGATGTTGCGATCATATATCAACAAATTTAAGTGTAATTAAAGGGACAAAAGAAAATGCTATTAAAAAGGAATGATATCTTCACAGTGCACTACAAGTATTTGGCAAGACACAACGCTTTTCCAATAAGCATTGTTTGTGACCTTTGATACTGAATGAATTTTAAATAAAATGTCTCCCCTGTTGTGTTAGAACCTGTTATGGTCTGCACGCCCCCGTAAAGTCTTGATTTAAGATTTACATTTGCTAAAAAACTACACAGCGAAAAATATTCAAAAGCGTCTTGCGATATCAGACCGTTCTGTGATAGAGCATATATTTTATAAGAATATTGAGGTTGCAATTTGTGAAATTTTAAGAATATCTTAGAAATAAACCCGAGGTTGGAATTGTGAAAAGAATATGATTTTGTGTGCTGACATTTTATAAATACAATACGATTATATGTTTTTAATTGCTAAACCGAATAAAATTCATCCTTTCTCTAAACGGCAAACTAAACTAGCGAAAAAAAGAAAAAAAGAAAAAAAAGAAAAACGGAAACCGAGCAGTAGCCTATGTTCAAGGCTAATAATAAAATTGTTACGTGTGTCAAGTCAGGTGGCCGGTAGTGGTTCCAACATCGATATGTCGTGATAGGCAGATGACCTGACGTTTCATTGGCATAGTTCACTTTCTAATCTAAGAACATTCACAAGAATATTTTCAGCCTAAAATCGGCAGAAAAATAAGAACTTAATATTCAGCCTGGGACGGAAAAAATATTCTTATAGAGAAAAAGAGTGTATATTTACTGCCTGTGGCGAAAGACACCCGCTGGTCAATGTTAACACAATGTTGCATAAAATGGAAAGCGAGCGAGTTTCAGATGAAGCCTCGGTTCGACTGATTTCTTGAGAATTTCAATTCTTTCCTTCGTTGTATACTATACAGAACAGTTCTCCGCTGGCTTGTAGACCAACAACAGTACCTTACAAACGACGAGAGGCGTTTATAGAGAGGCTTGCTAATCTTGCTAAGCGAAGAATCACGAAGGGAATATGGATTAATCAAGAGAGATCACGATAGATTGAATGAACTGGAACGTATATGAATGTAGTTCATCGATACACATCGAAACGTTTGTCGCTGTGTAGATTCAGTTCTCACGAAGGCCTCGATGAAGCAGCCTGTTTCAGAATCAAAGTTCTTCTGTTTTTGCAGAATTTATATATCTGCAGTTAAACTCACAAATTAAACAATATCACGAGTTTTCCTTTCCTTACCACCATGTGTTTATCAAATGATACCAGGGAACTTAAGCAACGACGACGCCAACGCCGAGGACGACGCCCAGTCAAAAATAATTTTATATTTTACCAGCCAGATTCGCCGTTGTCTAGATCTGTTCGACTGAAACGCCCATGGTTCCAAAAATAAACAATGACTCTGACCGCGACAGCGTTTTTAAGATTTCAAATGGAAATACGAAAAATTAGCCATCGTTCGCCTTCCTCAGACGACGCAGAACTTGGCTATGTCTAATTGTAGGAGAGATAAAGGAAGAATTTGCAGCTTACAGTTTGGTTAAAGGGAGAACAAAAAAAAAAAAAAACAAAAAACAAAAAACAAAAACAAACAAAAATTAAGTAATTCGGGTGTTGGCCTGACAGCAAATAATGTTTTATTTATTTATTTATTTTTGGACAATTTAACAAACATTCGTAAGGAAAATGTGCGATTAAATCAAAAAAAGGCAGTTGTTGATACTAGGCATGCGCTATAATAAAGCAAATCTACTTTTATACCTGGACAGAGATACACTGCGCATGATCTTGACATGAGCGCCTTCCCTGCACATGTTGACTCCTTGTCCACAGACGTGCTCACGCTTGTACAGAAGCGATACCGATGTTGTTTTCCCTGTCCACAAGAGCTAGAACACAATCCCCAAGACGACCAAGTACTCCAACCGTCATAATTCGAGGTGCCTGCCAAAACAGGAAAGACATTTTCTTTTTTAAGCTGTCATTTTCCGGTTGGATAATCTAAACTTGTCAAAGTCAGCTTTGCGTGGGATCATTATGAATAGAATTAGGCAAGAGTGGCTCTTGAAAGCAGGCTTTGTGAGACTGCCAGTTTCGTGTTTCTTGTTTACAATAACCCAACCTATGTACGTGCTGTTTTTATTAAGGCGGGCACGTATTGATTTGTGCTAATAGTCAAGTGGCCTCGTGGTTNTGCAAACAAAGAGCTTGAGGGAAACACGGACGTTAAATCAATTCAAACTGTGCGTTGATCTTCGATTTTGAGTTTATAACTAGCACGTGACTCATCATGGGAAAGACAGAGCTCACCTGACATCAAAATTTTGCTGCCTGAAAAATCTTCTTGACAAACAAAAGCAATGCCGATTATCCATTATCCATTCGAGAATCTCTACAGTTATGGTAAAAAGTGGAATATGTGTTTTTGTGCTGATATGATTAAACTTCTGAATTCTAATACAAGTTGGAAAAGGCAAAGTTAGTTGGCGTTTTACCCATTAAATTGACCGAGAATGGGCCTGGGTCGGTTACTAGGACGGCAGCTGAGTTTGCTAAAGCGTCCTGAACCGATGCAGCCGGTAGAACTGTTGTTTGAACAGTAATTCGTTTTGCGTGGTAGAATTAAAAAAGCGTACATATATTAAAAAAGCATCCTGCAGCATTTCCAACAAACCTGTCGACTTTAAATATTTTTAACGTTTTTAATATTTTAAATGTTGACTTTTGAATACCTATCCATTTCAGCTATCATTATTTGTTTCATCCATTATCATTTAATATTTAAGTGTATATTAATTAATCATTTTAGATAGTGTAGGTCCACATCAGGACTTATTGTCTTGCCAGTTCCCCAACCTGCTTTGCCAAATAAATTATGTATGTATGTATGTTTGTATGTATATGTAAGGGATTAGAATAGGCGACGCAAATAAAGGATACTAATGGTACTTGCTGAAACTGCATTTTACAAAAAGATTAATTCTTTTGTTGAAGACGCTAATTTATAAATATGATAGTCTGGAGGACTGAGTCATTTCGTAAACCATGTATTAAACAAAGTCGAGAAAAACACATTCAGGGTTCAGTGAATATCGAAGTATACTCCTTCGATCGAACAATAATTACTAATAATTGTCCTGTTCTTTACTGCAGCGTTTTCATAAAATCTGCTGAAAACAGATAGAAAATATATGTTTCGCAAAAATAAATTGAAGCCTTTGAAAATCTTTAAGTATTGTTCGGTCTGGTCGCCTCTATCATTTCGCCGCTCAATGTCAAAAGAAGTTGTTTTCAGTACACCAGTGTGCTGGTACAAACATCTTTACCCAGTACGTACTTTCAAGACGACTGAGCTCCTAAAGAAGTAAACTGAGGTTCAAATAAGAATTGATATCAGTAATTGTTGTTAACGCAACTTACCTTCTTTCGAGAGCGAAATTGTGTGCAAGAATCGGCTTTCGTGTGTGATTCAAAGAGTTGCACTGAAACAATACATAATTCTGCCACCAACTGAATAAAAAGCCCCAGGGCCGGGTGTTTAAGTGGAAAACACTACGAAGCTAAAATATTCAGCCTTTCTTACACCGCACGTTTGATTAATAGTTGTAGTCGAATATTCGCTGGTGTGATAATCAATTATTAAATTGTCAATATTAACGAAAATGTTCAAGTTGCTTACTCGGCCCTGCCAAATGTTTTTAATATTTCTATATTTGTGCGCAAATTAAAACAACCATTTTTGACATGTCTTTCGTAAATGGCAGTCTTTTTTTTGTCATTTAAGACGACCTCACATAGAAGTAACTGAAATGATTGTTTTGACATTTTCTAGAAGGTAGTTAAATTCAACTGATGACCAGCTTTATTTCCGAAAGCTATAAATCCACTGACTCGATCTTTCCTAATATATCGATCAGGGATCCAATTAATATCCCTCCCAAAATCATTAAAAATTCATCAAGTTACAACTAAATTCAAGTTTCGGTTGCGAATGTGTATAAAATAATCGAGTACGTGTTTCATCGCATTTTCGAATACCTAGATATTTGTCAAAAATACCCCGCCGCGGCTGGGTTGCATTTTCAATTACCTCCTCATCAGATTTTAAAGACCATAAGGAGAGGATGAAACACTGTCTCGAGTGTTTGAGATGTTACTCCAAAGGAGCGTTTTATCATGAGGGAAACTCGTTTAATATTTATTATTTTTATAAATTAAAGACTGTATATTGTGTTTGCAAATTAACATCAGCTGAGTAAAATTGGTGGAGAATTAATTCAAGGTTTTGGTTCGGTCATTAATTCATTTAAAAGCATTTCAAAAAATATATAGTTTGTTTCCAGCAGTTAAACATAATGTCACATATTGCCTTGAACGTTTAATTCGGGCGGAATCCATTTGAAGATCTGAGACTATTCCGGACAAGACAGAGCCCCAGGGCCTGGTAACGAAGTAACGTTTTCCCGCGTTTCTGATATTCTCGTCCCCAGACCCGCCTGTTCCTGCGTGGCCAACACTCGCTCCAGGGTTTTCGCTCCAAGACCACGCGCGTCCGCAAACATACGGCTGTCTTGAAGGAGAGGGAAAATGTTTCTCTGGAGACAAATGATTTGCTCGACGAATATTTTGGACCAACAAACCGAGTTCGAGGTTCGCACTGTAAGTTGTAGACCAAGTGTTTCCCCTACGAATTTATGGCCCAAGCGCGAAAAGTGCGGGCCATAAATCGAAGATCCGTAACTTTCAGTGGAACCGGGAAGACAAAGGTAGTAAGATATTTCTTTTATCTCTGTGTGTGTGTTTGACGAGTTTGGAAACAGTTTCAAATGTAACGAGCCGTACGCGTACAGTAGAATACGGCCCCCTAAATGAACCAATCACAGTGCCCCGTAGTAAGTAAGAGGTATACTAAATAATCTGGCGAATGAATATCAACATTTTCTTTCACACAAAAAGGGGGGCGCGTAATGTGCATAGCTGTAACTGATCAAACAAACCACTACAGATCTGAACTTTTTTTTTCTATTTGTTATTTATCATATAAATCCGCGTTTTAGACTAAAAACTACCGTGGCTTTGTCCAAAGTCCCAAACTTAGTACTTTAAAGGATTTTGTCCCCGTTTTTTTTGATTCAATAAATAGTAATTACCTTTTAATAGTACAATATATCCTTTTCTGTCCAAAAGTATCTTAATTTAGTCTCGCCCTACTATCAGGGCTCTAAAATTGCTTTACAAAACTTTATACTACAAATATATGGCTTCGATGTATTTTCATTGTTAAACTAGGGTTTAACGCGTTACTACGGTTACCTTGTGTATAGTTTGTTAGGGTACGAGTGACTCTACTGAGAGATTTTACAATTCATGAAGAACTAGAAACATCAAATTTTCATGATCTTTATACGGTGAAATTACTTTCGTTCTTTATATGAATTACTAAGAAAACTTTCTCTTTCGGAGGTTCTTGTTTGTTACCAAAGTTCTCGCTACGAGTAGTAATACGTTTGCAAAGGCAAATTTGCGAGTAAATTCGAAATCTTCCCTCGTGCGAAATTGTGAAAAGCAAACAAAATTAGTTACTTATAGACTTATTAGAATTGTAAAATCAATTAGTACAGTAGAATAGACTTGAAAAACTGTTTCAGCGGAAGTCAAGTAAAACGAACATTCTTAACATAAATCGTTTAAACTAATGCGTGTTCAGTCACAAAAAACCCGGCGAAAGTTGCATAAATGTCTAACGGTGTACTCGAAAACTGAATGAATAAAACAGGTTTGCAACCTTCGGCTGTACTCTTAGAATTAATTTCTCTGCCTCTTTGGAGAGTTAAAATTAGTATTACAATATATTATCATATCTTTTTTTACGTAACGCCTTCATGACCAACAAGTCTATTCAAACAAGGCCTCAAACCTAGGAAATCAAACTTAAACCTAACATTCGCAATAGTTTTGAAAGTTAAAAACTATACATCGGACGCATTTCTCTTTCCAACTCTACCTCACTATACACAGTGTCCTTGTTGTTCAGCAAAGTACTCAGTGACAAAAGATGTCGCTCGGATGAATGGTTCTTTCGAGGCAAAGACAAAATCTTACCTCTCGCCTCTTACACCTTTTGACTATCCGATAAAAAATCGTTCCAAAGCCAAGGAAAGATTAAAATAAACCAATTCCATTTAAGAGGACAATCAGGAAGACGCCAGAATCCAAATTGATTTGCACTTGATTGCATGAGAGGACGTACGTTCAGTAACCTGGGAAACCTAACCAAACAACCTGTCGACTGAGTACTTCACTGAATCAAACATGATTTGTAGTAAGACTATAAACACTATTTACACAAAACCTTTACATGCATCTCTATAAATACGCTGATCTGTGTAGCAAGGTGTTTCCGCAGGCATTTCCGTCAACATCCAATCTCCGTAATATTTTTTCTCGGGGGCTCGAAACTCTGCGCATCCCGAAACAGCGTACCTCTCGTATCTGAGGCAATCTGGACAGTCACACTCTATGTTATTCCTTACCAGTACTCTCTCGACAGTGTTAGTCACCTTGACAGGCGAGAAATCGCTAGCAGAGTTACTTCCAGACACAGAATCCAGCTCGGAAATCTCCCCACAAGTGCAACGAGGGACGCGATCCGCGTCGCAAAGAAATTCTGTCCTTCGAGGTCTTTTTCTATGCGACGATCTTCTTCGATCGCTTTTAGTTCTTTGCTTGTGAACGTTCTTTAACGGTTCGCTGCTAGAAGCCTCGTCATCAAGAGGAGACGAGGTTCCCGTGGATCTCAGCGTGGACTCTGACGTGCTTGAGCTGCCGCCGGAGGAGGGAGGAAGGAGTTTGTGATGCCGACGTAATTTGGTGAACACGATGAACAGAAGAACCGCAAAAACAAGTACAGCGAACACAAACACACCAAGGAAAGTCAGCTCAGATTTTCCTAATGTCTTTCTTTGGACCACAGCGACCGCTTCGCTTTCTGCCGAGAACAAAACGAGAATGTTACCAGAAACAGGAAAAAAAAGTTCATATGTGCGTAGAAGAGATTAAAAGCATTCTCTAGTATTCCTAGGCAAAACTACGTGTGGCTCCTGGTGAACTCATAATTGTCGCAAAATTTATAAGACTGACACGAAAAAAAATGTCTAAGTGACGAACAATTTTGTGCCAGCATACTATGACCAAATTTAAAACATTAAACCCTGACATAAAAAAAAAAAGGTTGATGACGATAAGTGACAGAAATTAATACTCTTGTCTTAAAAATGAAATACATAGATAGACTGCTGACAGAAGGTTTTTCTCTCGAAATCTGGTAAGAGGTATGAGGTGAGACGTTTCAGGCGGTTAAACACTTGTTTTCAAGAGGCCCCGTCCACATTACACCGGAGAAGTTTGAAAATGCAACAATCACCGCTCATTTTGGATTTGTGTTTGAGGAAAGAGAAATCACATGATTATCGTGACGTCATCGTTTTCGAAAAGCTCCGTTTTCAAAATGTTTTCCGTCCACACGAAAACGCAGAGCCGGCGTCTTCAAATTCCTCCGGTTTGAAGAGCATTTTCGAAAAGCTGCGTTTCCAAATTCTCCGGCGTGAAGTGGACGCTGTCTAACACATGTGTTGCGTCACTTACTTTCAGTCCTACTTTCTGTCTTGTACGAGGCCGTGAAGCCTCTCCGTGTTCCATTGGTCCAATGTCCGTTGTGCTTGTAAAACAAGTACATATTGTTCCCAGACGAAACTATAGATTCTTTGTAATCATCGCTCTTTATTATGGTTATTTTGGGCGCGCTCGAGTCGTTCCCATCTCGTACAATGATGGAGTCACCGTCCATCTTCAAGGCGTCAAACCATAAATGCACCCTGTGGCCCTGAGGTAAGGTAATCACCCAGGTGCAGCTGGAGCGACCCGGGCGGGGGAACAGCTGCGGTGATGACGTGATCATCCCGTGCGGTTCTGTTAAGCGGCATCCACAGGAGCACGCTGACCCTGAAACTGCAGGCCATGTCATAAACACAGTTAGAGAACTGAATTTACAAAAGTTTGGAAAAATATTATTACCCAGCTATGTCCCAGTTTGGTAAAGTCTCAGGAGAGTCCATAAAAAAATGAATACTGTAACATTTTAGTTTATTCAGTATAGGTGATATGTTTTAGATGAGGTAACTGTTATAATCTTGTTTGAATGAGACTCGAGGCTAAATGAACCATTAGGTTTTCGACTTAGCCTTTCGCCTGGTTATGTCTAATTGTAGGACAGGAGAGATGAAGGAAGAATTTGCAGTTTTCAGTTTGGTTGAAGGGAGAACAAAAAAACAATTAACTAATTCGGGTATTGGCCTGACAGTAAATAATGTGGTTTTTTTTTTTGGAAAATTTAACCACCATTCGAAAGTAAAATGTGCGATTAAATCAAGAAAAGGCAGTTGTTGAACCTAGGCATGCAAATCAAAGCAAATCTATTTTTATACCTGGACAGGGATTGAGTGCGCATGATCTTGACATGAGCGCCTTCCCTGCACATGTTGACTCCTTGTCCACAGACGTGCTCACGCTTGTACAGAAGCGATACCGATGTTGTTTTCCCTGTCCACAAGAGCTAGAACACAATCCCCAAGACGACCAAGTACTCCAACCGTCATAATTCGAGGTGCCTGCCAAAACAGGAAAGACATTTTCTTTTTTAAGCTGTCATTTTCCGGTTGGATAATCTAAACTTGTCAAAGTCAGCTTTGCGTGGGATCATTATGAATAGAATTAGGCAAGAGTGGCTCTTGAAAGCAGGCTTTGTGAGACTGCCAGTTTCGTGTTTCTTGTTTACAATAACCCAACCTATGTACGTGCTGTTTTTATTAAGGCGGGCACGTATTGATTTGTGCTAATAGTCAAGTGGCCTCGTGGTTAACCGCACTAAACGAAAGGCACAAACTGAAAGCAGACTATATTTGTCATTAATCATAAGGCGCCGAAGCGTCTACCGTGAAGAACGCTTGCCACGTTTCGCAGCTCCGGAACGTTTTTTGATTAAACGAAAACGCCAAGTTGGGGCTTATCAATTTTTTTATATAATATTTCCTTCTTAACGGGCCATTAATGTTTTCGGTATGTCTCAATATTTAAATCGTTTCCATGGAAAATGAATATTGCTGTTTTTCAGGCGTCCGACCAACAAAATACTGAAAAACTATTCGGCCTTCAAATCTTGACAACGGGAAACAGTCGATTCGTCTCGCCTTGTTTTTTTCTTTGATTGCAGCAGTGTTTTATGCTTTCATGAAACTCATTCCTGAATAAAGCAATGCAATTCTGTTAATTGAGATTACAACGTGCCAAAGCATAAGCATTTCTTCATCAAAGTTAATGGAATGATTATTGCGTAAAATATTTCCATCATTATAATATTACTTTTGTAATGAACTTCGAGTAACATAGAACTTCGGATATACAACTCACTAAGGAAAACCAGTGAGCTAAGTTCGATATTTAATTTTTCTTGTGGCATGGAGAACGAAAGAGAAATATTAAGTCAGACGTTGACTAAAACTTATGTTAATCGATTAAAAGATATTCTTAGTTTTGCCTTGGCCGGGCTGCTTTCGATTTTCTTTTATATTCACTGATTAAGTCATTGATATCTTTCACAGATCTGACCAGCAATATTAATCATGTATGAATCTTACGTTCGCCTAAAAGCTTTTGTACTATCTGAGAAAAACACTTCATGGCTCACATTATTGTGGCTTAGAAAAGTGCTAATTTATCAACTCTGCTGAGTGCTTTTATATATATATTTACTGCAAATAACACAGGCGACCCAAGCTCTCAATATTATTATTTTTTTCACTTTTATGCGAACATTCAGCCTAACATGACATATGGCATATACTATTACATAACGACCGAATTTGACTACGCGAAACGTGACTCTGGCCTTGCAGCATATGGAGGTGTTGTGTTACAACGGTTTGAATTTATAAAGGTTTGTATGAGAATGCAACGGCTTTGCTTGAAAAGTCAATTATTCTTATGTTTTGTGAATAAAATCTACTTACCCTGTTGCTGTGTTGTATTCTTTGTTGTTTGCCAACTCCTCAGGCCGATCTAACGTGATTTCGGCGGTGGAAACCCACAGAACGATAACTCGCCGAAATCGGGTTAGATCGGCCTGAGGAGCTGGCAAACAACAAAGAATACAACACAGTAACAGGGTAAGTAGATTTTATTCACGAAATATAAGAATAATTGACTTTTCAAGCAAAGCTAAAAAAAAGAAGTCCAAATTTTGGCTTATGCGCATGCCCGGAATTGAAATATTGCTCAATTTTGTACCTAATCCTCGAAAAATCTCTACTTTTAGTAAAAAAAAGCTTTCTTAGCAAAACTTAGGCTTATTTAGCGTCATGGCAGCTAAAAAACTTGACTAAGCGGTTAAAAACGGTGGTTCCGTAAAAAACCAAGCAGACAATCTAATTGGGCTACGCCAATCGTATAATTTATTCCAGGATTCAAGATTATTCGATCTAAAGAGGTAATACAAAATTCCATTGAGAAACCAAACAGACGATCGGAATATAAACGCAAACCTAAGTTACAT